TTTAGGAAGAAAACCTTAAAGTAAGAGGCATTTCAGTCATTTCGGACCATTTTACAAGAGGATGATATTACACCGAATTTCACAACTGGCCAATTGGCCATAAAGATTTGGTAATGAAATTCACGACCAGTTCACTGGCCACGCTTTATCCACTTAAGAGTCAAAAGCATTTTGGTAAAATATATGGCCAGTCAACCGGACATGTAATAAAGATACGGCCAATCCACCAGCCGTGAATCCTCCTCCAGCAAGTTAGAAGCATCAGTGCAAAATATACGGCCAGTCAAACAGCCGTATAAAAAAGATACGATCAGAGCATTGCCCATGAATTCTCCTCCAGAAAGTCAAAAGCATCAGTGCAAAATATACAGCCGATCAAATGGCCGTATAAAAAAAGTCACAACTGGTGCCCCGATTTTATGTTATCTTTTTGCCCGTCATGAATTTGGCATAATGAAAGTACAAAATAAAAAGCCAAAACCGGTGTACAGGCCGTATGTTTTCCTCGTCTAGCAACTGAAAGCGGGAGAATAGGTCAAAGATCTTTTTCAAAATGGATATGCAGATCCTGGCATATCCTTTCTACACTATAAAAGGAGGAAGAAGGGATGCAGTGATCATTAAACAAGGCTAAGGAATAATATAGATTAAGAGGGCACAAAATTGGGTTTAACTCTAGGAAATACTCCATAGTTAGCAATTGAAACAAGATTTCTATCTTGGTTTTCTCTTGTGGACAAGGATGGTTCTATAGCTATCAATTCCTTTTAATCTTTTGATTTGTAATTTGATTATGTGTAGTGAGTAGTTCCTTTAACTAGTGTTGTGTGAAAACCCATTTGAGCAACAGTTATGTAATCAATATTCCTCATTTCTATTTATTAGAAGTTTTCTTGATTCTTGTGTGGGTGTGCTTACTGCATATAAATATGATAGAGCTCTATATTTATATGAAATGAAATGAGAGGATGAACAACTGGAAGGTGAAGTCCCTTGTTAGACCGACCCACACATGAACCTAGGATATAGACTTAGGAATAAGTTGTTCCTTTGAGGAACTTGAGAGAATCATAGAGAGTAATAGGCTGGAATCATCATTACACCACGAAAGTTAAATGTTCTTATGATTTCGGAGCATTTATGTCACTTGGAAGAGGACATAGATATTAATGGGTTCCTCCCCCTTTAAGACGCGTCCCTTAATAGATTGAAAATGAATTTGAGTTTCGTAATGTTGTTCAATGGAGTTGACCCAACACTAGCACCTTCTCTTTATTGATTACAACACGTCTAGCTTACTATATTTTAATTTAATTATTTACTTGTTTGCTTTAATTCAAATAGTTCAGATTTCAAAAATTCTTCGATTAATTTCTAAACAATTCATTTGGATCTAAAACTAATATTCAGTCCCCCTTATTCCTGAGGACAATATCTTTTATTTACTATTTGCATGATCTGTACACTTGCGGAATCGCTAACAGTTTCCCTTACAACCAAATTAAGAAGAGTGATTTTAATCACCAAAGAAAAGAAAAAAAAAACGAAGGAAATAAAAGTAGACACTCATATTTACCTTGCTTTGAAGAAAAACCAAAGATTTTAATTGAAATAGCCAAGAACACCTAATATCCTTGATGCTTGGTGATTGATCCGAGTAACAATGATTTAGGTAAGTGTTTGTTGGAAAACAATCACGAAATTCAAGGGACGTTTGATGACAAATGAGTAGTTCTTTTAATTTGAAGACATAAAACTTGCTTCTATTTCAAATCTCAAAGCTAGAAATATTTTGCAAGAGATTTCCCTTAGAAAATTTTCCAAGCCCTAACCCATTAACCTTTGCCCTACTTATAGACAAAAGGTGTGATTAGGTGACCCTAATTTGTGATTAGGTGACCGTAATTTGGGGTCTAGGTGGCATGGGCTATTGATGAGCCCGAGACCGGCTGGGCTTGTTTTTACAAAAACGGTCTCAACAGTAAGAAAAATGAGGTAGTGCGTCGGGACATGTCCCGGCAAACTCGAGGTGCTTCCCAGGCCAGTTTCGATGCGAAATCCCTTGAAAACTCGAAAATATAAAAACAGTCAAACAACTCAAATTTCTTAAATACGAGCCATCAGTCCCAGAATCAAGGCGATCGGATGTTCCAATTTTATTTTATGACGAAATAGGTTATCATCACTGAGTCACATTGTCAGGACAAAAATTAAGCATCTACAATTCCTTATCTAACAACTTCATGTCCTTTAATGGTGTGCATGCAAGAAGAGAGAAGAGTGGAGTTACTCCTGAACTCCCAAAGCTTTCATTTTCTAATTTAGATGAAGCTATTTGGAATGAAGAAATTTTCCCTCTTATTTTACAGTTTGTAGTTGCTGATAATTCTCATATTTCTTAATAAAAACAAAATAATTCTTTATATACATTTTTTAATTTGATTAATACTTTCTAAAATTTAATCAAGTCCACTCAAATTTATTTAGTTCTGATATGTCAAACTAGTTATTTACTATTTTTTAACTTTTAATTAATAATTTATATGTAAATTAAACTATTTTATCAAAATTTTGTGCAAGATTAGAGTTAAAAATTAGGACTCAGCCGCTATTGGGAGGACTTTTTATGAATAGCAATTATGGAAAGGCGGTGAAAACACATATACAAAGGAAAAAAAAAAATTACAAAATTTGATTTTTCATATATAATTATTCATTCATTTACCCAGACGTACGTATTTGGGTAGCTCATACCCAAAAATATTAAATTTACACCTATCATAATACATCCATAATTAAAATGGTTAATTATGTATATCAGTAGAAATCTTTATTCTTTCCTGTTGAATGATATTAATTTTTTTTATGTTAAAAAACTCTCATTTGATATTCTAAAAGATTGCACTTGTATTGACAAATGAAGAGTTGAGACAGACAAGGAAAATATTCTCTCTTTTTTTCTTTTTACTTTTTTCAAGTCTGAGAAGGAGAATTACATTTTTTTTATGAAATATTTACATTATCATATTATTCTAATTGCATTGGTTAAATATATTCTTAACGTAACCAATAAAAAAAAAAAGAAAATAAAATAAAAAGTTGTAGAAAGAGGATGAGGAATACTCTTCATGGAAAAAGTTCTGAAAGTGCCCATTTATCTTAAGAAGGTTTATTATATTTCTTTAGGCTTATTCTTTGGTAGCACATCCTATTATTGATATTTATATACTATTAAGACAAAAAAAGATTTTATTTTCAATGGCATTTTCAATTATTTTGGGTTGTAAAAAAGAGACCAGAGACTTGCAATTGAAAAAAGTTCTGAAAATGTCTACATATCTTCACACAAAAATTTTGATATTTCACATTTAACTTTTTTTGAACCGCCAATCCATTTTTCCAATAAAGAAAAACAATTTATTTCAATTTATATATATAGACAAAATGAATTACTTTTTTTTTATTATCATTAAAGGTTTCTTTCCACAGCTTCATCCTATAATTACTTGGGTAGAATCTATTGTACTTTAACCTCTCGATCAAACTATTTCGGTGGACAAAATGAATTATCATAATACATAAGTACTCATTATTATACAAGATGTGATATTTTGATATATTAACAAATAAAAATAATAATCCCAATTAAAAAATTTACACTTAATCCCTTTGATAGAAAAGGTTTGGTTGATTTGGAAAGTCTAAAGAAGGTAAAAAAGAAGGCAGACCAGCCCACAGAAAATCCCATAAGGTCCAAAAAGCCATAAGTCTGATTCACAAAAGTCCACAAGTTTATATATATCTATATTTTTAGGAACTATAAAGTATATTGTGTAGAAGAAGAAGCATAATGGAAACATTTGATTTCATCCTTTTCCATACGCTGTTCTTCTTTCTAGTACCACATAAATTATCCTTTTTTTTTTTTTTTTTGCAGTAGATGGAAAACATTTTGATGTCAATCTTGTTCATAGCGCTGTTCTTCTTTAGTACGACATAGAAATATTCCTTTTTTTTTTTTTTTTTTTTTAGTTTTTTGGGTCATTGTTAGAAAAAAAAAAAAAAGCAATACATTCAAAATTTTAATTGGAGTTCTTTCAAGTAATAATAGTAATAATAAATTTATTTTTAAGAGTAAATAATATATATATTGAATTATCAAATTTAAATATATATTCAATAATCAAATTTAAATTTATTAAATAATTAGCTTAAATTGTTTTTTTAATATTTAAAGTGGTATTATTGAGAAATACATGTTTAGATTTTAACAGTAAATGACCCAAACTAAATCAATGCAAATCAAAAATACGAAAATCCTTTTAGACGTAAACCTAATGCAAACCAAAAATATACTAAAATCCTTTTAGATGTAAACCTAATCAAACCGAATTATATACAAAATTGAATGAAAATCATTTTGGTTCTATTCCAACTTTTTTTAGAGTATTTTTATCTGATAAAAACCGATCTGAATAATTTTTTTAAAAATTTTTCTCTATTAAAACATAAATAGAATCAATTATACAAAATATTAAACCGAACCAAATAAAAACTTTTTAATTTTCTCTGTTATTCTTTTTCTATTCAATTAAAAACAAATGATTAATAAGATATATTTTGATTAAAGCGGCAGAGTTTGAAATTGATTAAAATGTTCAAAAAAAAATATAATTAATGTAAGCAAAACCAAAAATTAGGAAGAAGAAAACAACAATTAAGATCTAAAGCTAGAAGAAGAAGAAGAAGAAGAAGAAGAAGAAGCAGAATAGAAGAAGGATTCAGATTTTGAACTGTAAATCCTCCATGAAAATGAAAAAGCAGAGAATAGAGAGAATAGAAGAAAGAGAGGAAAACAAAACAAAAGAGAGACCAAATCTGACGTAAAAGTAGAGCTACCTACCAAATCCAGCCCTATCTGTAACCACTTGTCTTTCTCACCAACTTGGTCAAATCTCTCTTTCTCTTTCTCTTTCTCTCTTTTCCCCTACCCCTCTCTTTAAGGATCGAGTCTATCGCCTCTCTCCTGCCCTCTTTTCTCTCTTTCCCCCCTTTTCTCTCTCCCTTTTCCTACACATATATATATATATATTCCCTTTCTTCCACTCCTTTCAACTAAACTCTCTCTCCCTCTTCCTTCCTCTTCTTCCAATTTCATCTCTCTGTTCTTAAAACGACTCGACGCCTGTACAAAACGACGCAGCATACCCATTCTACCATGGGACGCTCGCCTTGTTGTGAGAAAGCTCATACTAACAAAGGCGCCTGGACTAAAGAGGAAGACCAGCGCCTTATTGACTATATCCGTGTTCACGGCGAAGGTTGCTGGCGCTCACTCCCTAAAGCCGCCGGTAAGTCTATCACCGCCACCGTGAACCGCCATCACTACCGCCACTATCATTAAAATCTAATTTTTTGTTTTCTGTTTGGAATAGGATTGCTTAGATGTGGCAAGAGTTGCAGACTCAGGTGGATTAATTACCTCAGACCTGATCTTAAAAGAGGAAATTTTACTGAAGAAGAAGATGAGCTTATTATCAAGCTTCATAGTTTACTAGGCAACAAGTAAGAATTTTTTTATTCGGTCTGAAAAACTTTGTTTGATTACTGAGAAAGTGCAAGAAAATTATATATTTTTTTTATTTGGTACTTGCAGATGGTCTTTAATAGCTGGAAGATTACCCGGAAGAACTGATAATGAAATAAAAAATTACTGGAACACTCACATCAAGCGAAAATTACTTAGTCGTGGTATTGATCCGCAAACTCACCGCCCGCTCATCGAAAAAACCACTGCCACCAGTAGCGGAGCCGGCACCGGCACCGTCACCGCCACCGCCAAAACCACGCAAATTAACTTCGAAAACGCGTGTCCGCAATCAATAGCAGAAATCAATCTTTTCAAATCCAATCTGGATTTCAAATTCGCCATGAAAACAGAGTCCGTTGAAGAAAATAACTGTACCAGTAGCGGCATGACCACGGACGAAGAACAACAACAACAGCAACGGCAAAGAGAAAGCAGTCAGAATCAAGAAGAAGTTAATTTAGAGTTACGTATAGGATTAGGTCCAACTGGGAGTGAGTCGACTCAGACATTTTCAGCAAACTCGGCCGAGTCAAAGTTAGAACAACAACAACAGCAACAAAAAGAAGGTCCGTTTCAGTTGTTCGGGTCGGTTTGTACTTGTTGTCAGTTGGGTTCTTACCAAAGAAGTGAATTGTGTAGGAATTGCCAGAGTTCAAATGGGCTCTACAGATTTTATAATTATTACTAAAAAAAATTATTTACAGTAATTATTAATTTTATTTTTTTCAAATAGAAGATTGATTGCTCAAATCAGACACCAACTCCTTCACCTGCTGCCTGCCACAGCTAGTTTCAGTATAATGAAGACAGAGTTAAATTAAAGAAATGTATGGTATCATAATTACTAATGTAAAAGAATTCAAAGTTACTTACCAACTCTGCAAAAGGATTAAATGCTTTTTGGATTCATTTAGATGTAAATGGTTTCTTTTTATCATTCAATTTTGGCTTCATCTTCTAAGAAAAAATTATCAAAACTCCAAAAGCTGTTCTTGTCTTAAATGGCTCAAAGTTTTTTCTTTTAATTTTTTTAATAAATTGAAATAGTTCACTTTAATTTCAGTTCTTGATGAGATGTATGAAATTCCATTCATCAGATATGTACTAATATACATATATGATTTGACATAGTTTATTTTGAGTTCAGTTCTTGGTGAGATGTATGAAATTCGACTCAATAAGCGCGTGGTAGCAAGTGCATATTGCATGTATAATTTGATAATAGATTTTAATGATCTGATAAAAGATTTAGAAGATTATCTGACAATAAATTGAGATTTAAATTCTCAGTAGACATGTAATAACAAGTGCATATTGCATATATTATTTGACAAAACATGTAGTAGCAATTGCATATTGCATAGATTTAGAAAATTATCTGATAATAGACTGGGATTCAAATTGAGATTGAGATTTCAGAATAGTTCGTTTATTAATAAGGGTAAAGTTTGAAACAAATTTAAAATTATAAAAAAATAATTATTTTTAATTATAAATTGTAAAAACTCGAGTTTAAATATGCTTTTAAAGGAGCTAGTGTCAGTTTAATAAAGCCCCTTTTACCTACTATATTTCACCTCTGGCTCTATATAGAGGTAGTATTTTAGCTGTGGAAAAACCTTTGAATGATGAGAGATAGTACTTTACCTATCAAAAGGACTTGTATACAGTATATATAGGTGGCTTTTTTTATAAATAAATAATAAATAAATTCACTTTTGCAGGTCGAATTCACAAAAGAAGAAAAAGAAAAAAAAAAAAAAAGAGAAATGTCTTTCTTATAATTTCTTGTAGTTTCACCCTAAAACTTTCCCAAACAAGCTTTTTCTGAATATTTTTTTGTTTCCATTTGCATAAAAAAAAGGTTTAGCAGGCAAATATCTTTCATACTTGAAGTAGTGAAACTCATACGTCTGTCTTATATGAATTATAGTAATGACTATACATTGAAACAAATTTGATAAATCAACCTTCATTGATCTAATAGTTTTGACCATGCTGCTGCTTTCTCTACAATTACTTTTGACTTCTAAATTGTTTTCCTAAAATTATTTTAGGTATAAATATAAAATTACAAGTAAATTAATGGAAATTCATTTCTTGAAAATTTAAATTAATGGAAATTGCTATTTCCAAGTTAGATTCCAAAAGAATTTATGTTAGTAGGCTAATTTTGGCGTAATCAATCACAAAGGGGCAGCCTGTTAGTAATGGGAAATGTGAAATGTTAATAATGGTTGGCATAATTGCGAAGTATAGGTTGGGAGAGATGCCTGCCTAATGATTAGACATTGGAAGGAAGCAATACCTTCTCACTTTATCCAATTTGTTTTATTTACTTTGAATAATTTTAGGCACATTTGCCTCTTTCAACCAACCCAATTCCACCTTACTAGATCTACCAAGCCAAACTTTTTACTATAAAAATATATATAATCCTACAAACCCACATGCATAGACCCCTCCACTTATATATATATATATTCTATTTGGTTTATATTTTTGGAAAATTCCAAGTGCATGTAGCAAAAGCTTATCTACCTAACTATTAATTATATATCATTCATATCCAATGTGATTACTTCAAATGATAAGTAGGAGTAGATTTTTTATTAGTTGAATTCAAATTAATTTTTTTAAAATAAAAATGGAATAAATCGATTAGTGTATACTTCTTCAGTTCCATTTTAATAGTAAAAAATCAACATTTCATCTTGTACCGGTTTAAGCGCTTATTTAGAATTTTGAAAGTATATATTAATATTTTTTTTCAATTTTATCCATATTTATTAAGTATTTTGTAGTAAAATTAAATGAAAATTTTTTAATTTTAAGATAGACAATTTAGAGTATTCTACTATATATTTTTAAAAAATCAATAAGTATTTTGTAGTAAAATTAAATGAAAATTTTTTAATTTTAAGATAGACAATTTAGAGTATTCTACTATATATTTTTAAAAAATCAATATGTTCCAATCATTTTCTTAATAATTATGAAATATTAAATGTTGCTATTAAAGCGAAACGGGGAGTAACATTAAATTTTTTAGGTGATTTTAAGCTTATTTTTCAAATTTAATACAAAATGAATCAAATTGAAACTACATTGATTTTTTCTTTTAAAATTAAAACTAAAGTGAATATAATAAAAAATAAATTAAATTTAACTGATTCAATTTACTGAATTGGATGTATTTATTGAATCCTAATAATAAAGATGAGAGTGTTTTTTTTTTCCTAATTACTAATTATTTCAAATTCATTGGATTATACTTTAAAATAAATATTTCAATGCATCTACAAGAAAATGTTGAATTACTAAGTTTTAGTGTAATTGATATTAAAAAATTATACAAAAAGGTCTAATGCCCCAACAACCTAAATCATGGTTTCCATAAACCCATGGTTTAGTGGAAACCTTCTAGAAGATTAGATAGCCAAAACAATTATATTACATTAATATGAAGAAGAAAGAGAGAAGAAGATGGGCCTACCAAACATAATAATAAGAGTGTAATTAGATTATAATTAGTTATTAATCACAAACCCACGTGTATGGAATTGGAATCTTCGAATCTTTTTGTAAAGGCCTTAAAGCGTGCCGTATCCTTCTCTAATCTAACTTCACACACAATGTTGTTGGTGTTTTTTGTATTAATTTATATATAAATATTATTTGTTAATTATTATGAAGCATTGCTTTGTATGAGTGGAGGACATCAATATTAATAAATTATATATATATATATTTTAAAGGTAGAATATTATTTCTTTTTTTATGATTTTGCACATGTATGGAAATATTTTAATTTTATATTAAAGAAATGAATTGATTTTAATTTAAAAAAATATTGATTTGCTGTATGTTTTAAGGATACAACCATGACATGAAAATGCAACTCACCTATGTTTGAATTTTTGAAACTTGATTTAAAATTTATAATTTACAGTGTATAGTATATTTGAAACAACATATTTTTCAAAGTTATTAAAAATTGATCATATTAAATATTTAGAACTTCAATTTGACAAATGCTAAATGCAAACAAGGGCGAATCAAAAAAATCTAATTAATGGAGACAATACATAAAAGTAATAATTTAATGACAGCAAAAGGTAAAAATTTAGTGGAGTAAATATAAATTAATATAATTATATACATTAAAATGTAAAAAATCATAAATTAAACCGTGAAAGACCAGCGGGGTAGGTTGCAAACTGCAGTTGCTCTTTAGCAAATTACTAGCAACATGCCTGTGCTATGCAAAATAAGTATTTTTATCTATAATTGTAGAGATATTGTGATAATATTTTAAGTATATAATTTAATTAAAAAATTTTATAATTCAAATTATTTTTAATTTCATATTTGTTAATTTTGTTGAAAATAAATAAAAGAGTATATATTTCAAATTCAAAACATTAGATTAATTTTATAACAAAATTGAAAGAAAAGGAAATATATATAAAAATCATTGATTTTAATTTATTTTTGAATAATAAAATAAATAAAATAAAATTGATAATAGAAATTCAACTATATATATCATTTTTAATGATAATTTCATATATAAATCGCTTTCTTTCATGATTTATCAAATTTGTTCTAATTTGATAGAGTAATAGAATTGGAAGAGAAAAATATATCAATATTCAAAAGAAATTGTATAAGAATTATTGAAATTACAAAAAAAAATTTGATCTTACCAAATCTCAAAGAGCTCTCTCTATTTATAGTATATTTATATTATCATAACAATAAATGATAACTATGATTGATTATAATGATATTCAATACCAATATTATAATAATATTAATTTAAAAGATAGGTTATAATACATATTAATATGATAATCAACATCAAAATTATGATAATTAAATGATATTCAATACCCAATATTAATTAATAATATTAATTTAAAAGAAGGTTATAAGTTAGCATATTAATATGATAAATCAACATTCAAAATTATGATAATTTTTATTCGAAAAAATAAGGTAACATTATTATAATATTAATTATTTTAATACATATATAATACTGATAAAATTGAAATTGACAATTAAGATCCAATACTATGTAATTTTAATTGAGGAAAGATAGGTTATAATATTATAATAATTATAAATTATTTACAACTATGTATTTAATTTATGATAATTGAATGGATAATTAATATTCAATATTTATATAAGCCACTAATATATTATAATTAAATTCTATTTAGCATTATTAATTTAAGAGTTCCTATGTAGCATTATAATTCCTATCTTGTCACCCAAGAATCTGTATGTGGCAAGAGTAGGGGAAAAAAACATTCAATTCAAGAAATGGCTACATGTCAACTTCTTAGGAGAAAAATTCTGCTTTATATATATATAATATATATTATAAATATATAATAATATATTGAATAACACTCTCTTTATATGTCGTATATATATATTGAATTAACACTCTCTTTTATATTGGTCGGTCGAAATACGTTAATTATTCATGAGTATAATTAATATAAAGAGAGTTAAAAATAATTAATTTATTTTAACTAATAGGAAGAAGAATGCTGGACAATCACTTTAAACAGCAACAATAATTTGCATTTCGATTTTTTAAAATTTATTACAATGTTTATTCAAAATTTAAATTCATATATATTTAATAAAATCCAATTAAAGAATTTTAATAAAATTATAATCCAAATAGTCAAATACATAAATTCAAACACAATATAAATGAATTCAATATTTTATGTGGAATTGCAGCTCACTAATTCTATTTAAATATTATACATAAAAAAAAAAAGTACAAGAAAGATGCACAATTGGGTGGTGTCTTACTAATAAAAAAGAAAAGAATAATTTGGTAAACAAGAAACTAATTTCCATTTCATCATTCTGTTTTATTA